GAGGACGCAGAAGAAGAGGATGAAATTGATACTGACGAAGAGGAGGCTGTGGTTTGTGAATGATTTCAGTTCTCTTCTTGTTTTTGTGGTTAATGGTTTCTGCTACCATGCCCTTATTCTTCTGATAAGTTATTTCATTGTTTTTTTTTGTGTGTTTTAGTTTGGGACAGAAGGAAATCTGCTTTTTTCCGGCTCCGTTGAGAAAGGAGTGGTATCATTATTGTTCATTCAGATGGAATTGTGTCATGGGTATGTATTTTCACATTACAGTATTACTTTGATTGAAAAAATAGGACAATTTTATTTATCTTATTCTAATTTTAACCTTTTATTTAGGAACCTGAGCGAGAAATTGGAGAATTTGGTGGACAATCCTGAATTGGCTTATAATTGGTTTCGCCAATTCATGGAGGGATTAAGTCATCTTCACTCCCTTGGGATTGCACACAACGACTTGTCAACGAAGAACATTTTTTTGGACAAGAATAATAACGCCAAGATAGGGGACTTGGGCGTGGGTAAGTTAATATGACTTTTCATACAGAGAAGAAAGTTGCGTGTAATTATAATTCATTACAATTACATATTTCATATTGGGTTGGTAGATATCTGTTACACCCACACCTTAGTTATCCCTAAGGATGACCAATTGAAGTGTGTGACTAGCAATAACTGATTTCAGATGTGCATGCATTCAGTTTAGGGAGAGATGAACTAGGAAAAACAGATTTGTTTTAAGTTAAAACTAGTCATTTTAGAAAAACTGACTTTGTATTGAAAAATAGCAAAAACACTTTGTTGTAATTGTGGCATCCCAAGTCTCAAATCATGTAGTCATTATGAAGTTTCAAAACAGTATAAAACTAAGAAACATTTAGAGTTGCGTTGGAAGCTAACATTTAAACCAATAACAGTTTATTGAAAAAAAAGAACATGAGAAGTGTAAATCTCATAACTTAAAAACTTATAGAAAGTCAAACTTAGGGTTAGAAAAAGGTACACTCTGGTTATTCAAAAGATGAGCAAAAGAGTTCATTGCAAAATACATGATCATTTGATAATTTAGATGACTGTAAGTTCATAATCAGAACATATTCTGTTAAAATATGAGTAAAATATGTCTTGAGCTGATGCTAATCATTAGGCAGATATTAACTGATTTGTAAACACACATGATCCATGCAGATTGCTTAGGCAAGGCGTAGCCTCTTTAACTAGCTTGTAAATGGGTCTCAATATAATACAAACATGTTACAGAGAGGTTTAAAAACACTCATTAATATATATATCAACATGGTAAATTTATAATATCACTTCAGATAATGCATCATATCAACATGGTAAATTTATAATATCACTTCAGATAATGCATCATAATGCATCTAACTAGATGAATGACTAACAGGTCATGGAGTTCAGATAGTGTGCATGGACTCTCATAATGCCAAAGCTAGTTCTTGCATATCTGACCATGTAGTGGTCTTTAGAACAAGAAACACTCTTTAACATGCTTACAAAAACTCTCATGACATGGAAAGGCTGATATTTTGCTTTGCATGATATAGATTAAATATCAAGCATTCTATGCAGATGACTATTATCATAATAGAGACTAGGCATTGCATGTTCAATTAACTCAACACTTTATCATACATTGATAATCAGTTAAGACTCTCATGCAATAGCATATTGTGCTTCAGATTCATGTTTTTATGCTTGTAACAAATAACAGCTTACTTGTTTGTCATCCTCAAACATAATGAAGCATGATTACTACAAACCATAGTGTATATATCATAGCATGAAACAGCATAACAGGTATTAGATCCATTAAATAACTCACATGAAAAGGTTATCAAATTTCAGATCCATATTTACAAGTTCACTCACACACGAGATTGCATTCTATGTTAATTTGATGTTATATCTACTCAATCTTATGTCTAAAATCTGAATCATTCACCTGTTCTATTTTTGTCTCTATTACAGCAAAGGAAGTAGGGTCCACTATCTTGACCGAAGATTCATTGGGTGCTGAGTTGTATCGTGCACCAGAAAAGAAAAAAGGTGTGCCAATCAATTCAAAGATGGATATCTTTAGTGCTGGTGTGATATTGTACGAGTTGCTATATCCTATCAAGACTGGGTTTGAACGGTGTCTGCTGTTACAAGCTAATAGAGAAAAAGGAGAGCTCCCCATTGATGGACATTCAGGGATTGATCTGCTTGTGAAGAACATGGTCTCTCATCATCCTAGGGAACGCCCCACAGCTTCTGACGTCTTGGCATTGCTCCCAGGTATATCCTATGTTTTACTACATAATTTTACTCTCTTGGAATGTGAAACTGCAACCATATTTCTGAAATTGAAAAAATACATACAACTCATAGCAATTCCTATTTTTGCTGACAGAAATTAAGAATGAGTTTGTCGGATCTTTAGATCGACGTCTCAGAGGTATCTAGCAGATTCTTCACATGATTTGGTGGTAAGTGCAGGTTAACTCAGTGGTAAGTACTAGAATTGACACCTAGGTATACATGCTTCTCTAATTATTTGCAACTGTTTTGGTCTCTAACTCCTACGGTTGTGAATTTTGTTTTACATCTAAGCTTCTTTTGTTTCCTTTTATTTTCTTCCATTTTGATTAGGGTCATGCCTTCTATTTTCTTTTTCTGTTTCTCCCAGCACATCTGTCTTTTTGTTGACCATCACTACAGATCAACTCTTAGCATTTAGGGTAAGTTCTGCTATATTGGTATATGTACATCTTTAGTTAAAATGCATTAACCACCTGGATTGTGTTTCTTCTAGTCTTTCTTTATTCATATTTTATTAGGCGGTGCATCTACAATTGAGACACCCTAATTGATCTTTCGTTTGCACAGATAGCTGAGAGTGACTGATGGTGTACATTAGCCAACTGTACATTCTCTTTTTAATATGATCACTGTTACTGTCTTTGAGATGCTTATTGTTTCTAATTTGTTGAAGGGACGTTATTTTGTTTCTATTTCAGTGAGAAATTTACCTGTTATTTGGTGATCTCCTGTTTTTGATACATATAAGACATTCAGCTCTGCATGAATATGAGCAGCAAGACATTGGGGTAAAGAGAGTGGATGAGTGGATGAAAAACATCGCACGCCACTAAATCAATATTTAACCATACATAAAATATCCTATGCAAAGGTGTAACTGCAGTCTTTCAAAATCTGTAAGCTAAAAAATAAAGAAGGGTGAGCATGTAGTTTATGAAACATATAAAACAATGACTCCAGTGTATTCCTTGGTCTAACTTCACAGTATAAACCAGTTCCAAAATGGCTAAATTTAATTTTTCATCTATTAATTATTATTCTTTTTTCATTTTAGTCCGAAAGTTTAGTTTCTTTCAAAATTATTTATAAACTTTGAAAATCATTTTAGATTCATCAATTTAATAAACTTCTGTTAGTGTTTTTAATGGAATCCTATGGCATGCTTATGTGGCATTAATTACGTGGCATATGCAATTTTGAAAAATTACACTTTAATTCCAAAAGCTTCATAAA